GGGAGGAGGGAGGGAGGAAGGAGGGGAGAGGAAGGGAGGGAGTAAGGAGGGGGGAGGGAGGAAGGAAAGGGGGAGGGAGGGAGGGAGGGAGGGGGGAGGGAGGCAGGCAGAGGGGGAGGTTGAACCAGCTTACGTTGCCGCTTACCTGCTCTCAACCTTGAATTGTTTGCTGCGGCATCAAGACCCGCACGGAAGCCCTGAGGGCCTCCTTAGTCCTGTGCCTGCAGCGACCACGCGCTCCCGGGAGGGGGCGCCGCACGCACTGTCGGCTCAGCCTGGCGGGCTCTCCCCGCGTCTTCCCGCTTGCGGAATGGACGCACACACGCACACTTCCGGGGAAAAGCCCTGCACATCCCAGTAGTCGGAGTTTCCCAGTAGTCGGAGTTTCCCAGTAGTCGGAGTTTCCCAGTAGTCGGAGTTTCCTAGTAGTCAAAGCTCCACGCCCTCTTTTCATCTCCTGAGAACATTCTCCTTACACAGGTTTTACATGTTCACAGCGGAAAACTGAGGAAGTGAAGATGAGTATGAGGGGCTCAGCGATCCCTCCTGCTTCATGGGACACGGACCCGGGAGAGAAAACATTCTGGTGGGGTTTTCTCAGGCTCCGATTAGACCGCCCCCCCCCCCCCCCGCCCCAAGAGGCCTGGGTGCCGGAGCCCCTGACCCCGGGGTGGCCCTGGTGAGAGAGAGCGCCCAGTCCTGGAGAAGGCCAGGGCGAGAGCCCCAGTCCCCCCCCACCCCCCGCCCTGCCCCCGTGTTTACGGATCCCCGAACACCTGTGCGGAGGGCCTCAGTCACAGCCCAGGTATCTGCCTTTAAAACATCCCCAGTGACTCAGGAAAAGGCTCCTCGGAATTAGGACATTCTTGTAAATCAAAACCTTTAAGAATTAAAGGCGCAAAATTCTAATGATGGATTTCAGACCGCAGGCCAGACACGTGGGGACTATTTGGGGACCCGAGAAGAAGCTGTACAGCACCCCTTGAGTCCCATTTCCTCGATACTTACCATACTTGCTATGAAGCTTGACTTCATTTGACCTTTTATGCAGGAGCGGACAGCTGGATAGAAGGAGCCCTCGGGGTTGACCGTCTTCTTCTTTAACCGTTTCCAGGTCCCTTTTGTCTGTTCTCTCCCTCCCTAAACGTTTGGGGCACATCTTCTGGGATCCACACTTTCCGCCAGGCGTGAGGAGGGGAGGACATTGCTGTCCCACCCCAGGCATTGCTGGACCCGTAGCAAAGTGACAGGTGGCAAACGAGGCGACAAGTCCGTTGACCACCTGAGGATTTTGGCCCGGTCTACACGGCTACCCCAAACCAGAGAAGAAAGGGCTCCTACCTAAAAGAACCGTGCTCGATTTGAAAAAATATAGTGTATTGCTTTGATTGTGAAATTTGTGTTATTTTCTCAAACCTTATTGGATGAGGGGTGTGTTACACATATTGTATTATTATAAGGTCGTAACTGTGTTACGATCTTATCAGGGAGGGTCAAGGGCATTTTCCTCTTGCCATCTCTAGGGTGTAGGCTGGATTCCTGTTTCCAGGGTTTGGGAATCATTTGCTCTGGGGGAGAGAATTTAAAACCTGGGTTATTACCACGACAGTCTGGGTTTTAGGTTTCTTTGGAAAAGTCTGGCAACATGGGGCTGGCATTTCCCAGGGAAACAATTGTCTAAGGCCGAATGGAGATGTGATATCTCTGATGTGTTAGAGCCTCACTGCCCCTTTTTGCTCAGGACACTGGTTTCCAAGGGCCAGCTGCTGTTTCTCCCCTTCTTCCTGATCTGCTCCAAGCCCTTACATTACTTCCATTTCTAGTTCAGAAAGGAGAGGGCTCTCACCCAGAAGCAAAAGTTAGTTTGCCAGGGACCAGGAAGATAGGAAGCTGTGTGGCTCTGTGAGTGCTGTTGGCCTGCGACCCCTTGCACTGATCAGAGGAGTCTTCTTACAGTGTATGGCCAAGGGGATGACCCAGGGACCCCAGAGGGGCTGGACTCAGGGACAGACCCCCAGGACAGCGGGGCTGCCTCATCAGAACGGAGCACATAGGCTTGCACGATGGTGGGCTGTAGGGCAGACTCTTCCTCTACTTTTCTGAGTTGCTAAACTCTGAATTTGGGGGGGAGGAACCCAAAAGAGAGGTTGGGTGAGGGTGCTGGAGAAATGACTTCGTGGATGGGAGTTTAGTTCTAGGTAGTTTCAATTAGAAAGAAGGAAGGAATGCTACGTTTGTTCCTACATTTGTCGTTGAATGTTGCCCCCAGTGGTTTAATTGATATGAACTAGCCATAAGCTTCTTGCGGGATAATCTGCCTTCTAACATCCGTAATACCTTTTCTAATGATTTGATCACCAAATGCCTTCACTCATCCCTTTACTCATGCATATGTCCATTTGTCAGAGATTGGAGAACCCAGCACTGTTGTGGTGTAAGGATACACAATAGTGAAAAAGATACAGTCCCGAGTTCTTCCAGTTCTTGGTAGTGACCTGAGCAAGGGACAGGGCGCTGGAATGCAAAGGACATTGCTTGCGAGCAAGACGTTTGGGATCTTAATTCTACTTCTGTCCTTCCACTGCTGGGCGGCTTTGGTTCAACTATTTAACCAGAGGGCTTCATCTGCATGTGTGAAATGGGACTAAATTATCTTTAATTTCTTAATTAACTTCTAAAATACTTTGCTGAAGAAAACAGACACACACATCTGGACATAAAGGCAGATCTCCTTATATATGAGGGCGTCGCTAATTTCTTTATTAGGTTTTGGCTTTTCGTCCTGTATCTGATTTCCAGAAACGAGAGTGGATATACATTGTATTTTGCTCAATGTGTTTACTCATCTAAGATTTTACATGTCAGGAATTTAAATGAAAAAATGGTTTGGCAGCCTCAGCTGTTGGAAGAGGCAGCCAGCGGTGAGTCTGTCAAAAGCAGATGGCCTCAGAGTCTTCAACTTTAGGATTTACCGTGGAAACCAGAAGGCAAATGAGGACCTTGGGGGAAGAAGAAACTTACACGAATGTCATGCAGTTGGGGTAATGGGTTTATTGTATCTATTTACAAGTAAGCATTTACTGGCATTTTGTCAAAAATGAAGGACAAAGGAACAACAACTATTTTAGCCTGAAAACGACACAGCTCCAATCGGCCAATACTGAGCATAAACACTGTCAAGAGAACAGAGAACCTGAAGTGAGCGCTCTCTGGTTGTGTGGTTAGTTACCCAGACAATCAAGTCCACTGTACAATGCAAGCAGTGCGCGATAATGAAATACGATTGACCGGGGGGTGTTTGGGGGGGGGTGCAGAGGGAGGCTTGCTGGGCCGGGGGTCATCGGCCGGAAAGGGGGTTAAAATCTCATAAATCCTCCATATCTCTTCTCCATCTCAGGAACTTCCTTGGAGTAGCTTTCTCCTTCTTCGTCAGACGGCAGAGAGTCGGCAAAGCGCTTGAGGAAGCCCCCATACCTTTTCTGGTAGTCCATCCACCACTCGGGACGGCCGACTCTTCTCATGAAGCCCCCATACCGCTTCTGCAGCTCCTTGGCTTCTTCTTCCAGTTGGGGGCTTCTCTTCAAGGCTCTCATGAAGCCCCCGTACCTCTTGCTCACTTCATCATCATCACTTCCCTCTTGGTGGTGGCCGCTCTCTCGGTTGTCCCCCGTTCCCAGCAGCTCTTTCAGCAGGTCTGAAGAATTGGCCAGGGTGTCTTCCTCCTCTGCGTCCTTCTTCATGAAGCCCCCGTATCTCTTGGCAAGGATTTCCCCTGCATTTGCCTCTTCTTCTGGCTCCTGGGGGTAGAGCTCATCCATTTTCTTCATGAAGCCTCCATACCTTTTCATGAAGCCGCCATATTTTTTGGCTAGCGCGTGGCCCTCCTCCGGCTTGCTGCTCTCTCTGAGGGCGCTGGTGCCATCTTGAGGCAGCTCCAGCTGGGACAGTTGCAGAAGCTCCTTGCAAGTTTCCCAGGTTTTGAGAGAGGGCAGTTTCCCTTCACATTCCAGTGTGCAAGCCTGGGAAAGGAATCCCATTTAGTGATACAAAGAGGCTTTTCTGGTTTCATTAGGTAAACACTGTGTGTGTGTGTGTGTGTGTGTGTGTGTGTGTGTGTGTGTGAAGCGTTCTTCCCCATGGAAACTCTCATTTAATGAGGTGATTTCCATTTTCAATATTCTGAACAGGTAAATCAAAGGAAAATGGTGAAAGCATCGAATCCTAACCACTAGGCCACCAGGGAATTAGCCTAAATTAAAGGAAAATGGAATCACTGTGGATAATTCGCGGAGTCAAATTAGAATTTTTCTTTGAATTTGAACAGATTGTAGCTACCAGGCCATTTCAGTATCGAAAGAGACTTTTTTTCCACCCCAATTTTACCTAGACTGGCTGCCCGCACAATCTAATTTTACCGCATAACCTTCCACTGTGATTGCATTTTGTTTGAACTTTTTCTGAGCAAAAGGGAGAAACTTCTCTTTACCTAAGTGGGAACATCACTCCCAGATTCCTTTTATCTTCTTGTCTTGCAGATATGATCAATATTAATAATATCAGGTTTGTTGACGTTATTGTGTTACTATTCTACCTGGAATGGCACTTAGTATTCCTGCAAACATTTTCATTCTTTAAAGAAAAGGAGCAATTTCAGAGTACGCTGGAAAAGAAAGACATTCTAAAACTCAGTTTAAGTCTAGGAATTATTTGGATATGACATATTGATTTGCTGAATGTGGAGATGTTTGTTTTTTGCCCACTCGGTTGGTTAAAACAGATTTAATCATCCTGAACAAAATCTTTGTTATGACAAGGTCTGCTATGAAACTATACATATGCAGACGTTCACACATGATTCGTGTTTCTTAACAGTTACTGGTGTACAGAGAAGTTTTTTCCTCCCAATGGAAATCAGATTATTTGATAAAATGGGAATGAGGAGTGATCTGTATATAATTCCTTCTTGTTATTATGTAATAATTAAATTTTAACGATTATAAGATTTAGGCTATATGTTCTAATAATCTTAAGATTATCTTCCAGTCAATAGATCACTTGGGTATGATAAAAAGGGAATTAATATTGCATGAACATTTATAAAGTCTATACAATAGTTCTGGGCATTTCAGGGCTTTCGATAGCTGCCTGAAGTCTACTTATGGAACCCAGGTTACAGACCTTTGATTTAGAAAAACCAGGCCCTGTCTTGGTATTTAAAAATATATTGGTATATTAATTTGTATAAAACACACACAGGTTACTTTCACCATGCAAGAAAGCGATTTCTCAGTGCAGCAAAATTCCTTAGAGTCCTTTCACCAGCTCCTAATCATTATTTAAGCTTTGTGTCTAAGAAGATTAAATACATTCATCTATAAACTCTCAAGATGACGCAGTTAAAATGATCCTGTGTTATTCTTCATATCTGAGTAAGAAACAAAAACATCATTAAAAACGTAAGATGTTCAAGGGTCAATAACATTTCCATTCTAAAAGGAATGCTCTCTTTGCTAAACATTTTGTATACCATCACCAGCAGGCTTTTTAATGTTGGATTATTTCAACAAGAAATGATGACAAATAATCAGAAAAAAACCCCACTCATACTAAAGAAGTGATGTTAATCTATCAGTTCCTATACATGTCTATGCATTTTGGGGTGGTATTTACCATGCTCTGTGCTCGATGGTCAGGATCATATTAGACGGTACACTTAACCTGGACAGCGACCATGACATGCGTGCTTAGCTTTGCATCCATTACAGGACAAGCAAGCACAAGTGCTTTTCATATGGTAGAGGCTCAATATCTGTTACGCTGATTCTACATAGTCAGGCTACCCCATTTCCCATATGTCTTCTGGATCCAAGCTGCAATTCCAGAACTGTTGTAAATGCCAACAGAGCCACTAACAAAGCCTTTTGTCACAGAGAAAATTACCACCCTACTAGTAAGCCCCAAAACCAGTCAGCTGAACAAATCAGAAAGACAAAAGGCAGACGAAGGGGATTGTTGTGTCTGTTTAAGATGCAGCATTTTATCATTGTTAAATACAACGCCCTACTACGTGTCTTCGCATTAAGGCCATGCTGGGACCCGCCCATATTGAAGGTTTTGGGTCGGGTACCTCAAATGAAACAAGCACACATTTCACCTGAACCCTACACCTTGGGTTTTCTGGAATCCGCTCCTTAATTTTCATCCCTGTTTTATACGTCTACAGCACAGCATTTCTTTAAGGGCTCAAATGAGGAACTTAACTCCTCGGGTTAATACATTATTTCTACTGAGCCTTTTAAGTCATCACGGAATTTCAACAAACCGAGAAGACAGTGCGAAGGGATCTCTGGCGGAGCTGGTTAGGATGACGCTTCCTGCACCCCAAATTCGGAGAGTGCTCCAGCAGAGCACCAGGGCTGATCTGAGAGCACAGGGACTATGATTAGAACGAGAGGGTTTTTTGTTTTGTTTTTTGTTTTTGTCCTCAGCTTCTCTTCCCCCTAACCTTCGGCTCCTGTCCCGTAGTTTATCTTTGCATCCTTGTCACCTCTTTGGACACGGGCCACCTCTCCTGTGCCTTTTCCACAGCCAAATCAAGCTGTTGTCTTAGCAGGTATTACAAAAGTACATTCAAGGGCAGACAGAAGTTGCATCCCGGGTCACCTGCCCGAAGGTCGCGCTGGCCTCTTTGTCTCCCTTCCCCTGCAGCCCTGTCTACCGTCTCCCACCCCAACCCTTTGCCGTCTCCCACCCGCAGGTGAGGGGGAGGGGCTTGACGGAACTGAAGCTGAAAGGGCTGGAGAAATGAAACTCGCACAAAGACAACGAAAGGTCACTTAAAAACCATGACAATATTTGCAGGGGGGATGGGCTGTGTGGAAGGGGGCCCTCGTGGGACGTGTTAGGAGCCGGGGTGACTGAACACCGTCTCGGGGCAGGTGGGGCCACAGCCTACTGCTCTCCGAGATGCCGAAGGGCGCGCGTCTCGGCCTCCTGTATCCCCAGGGGGTAAAGCGAACTCGGTTTGTTATCGGTCCCTAGATGGTCGCGGGTCGCCAAGCCGAGCGCTCGAGCGGGACTTTCGTCGGCGTGCAGGGAACAGTCGGGCCCCTGCGTCACCCGCGGGGCCCGGGGAGGCGCCCCGAGTCCGCAGGCCCGGCTGTCCGCGGCCCCCCGGCCCCGGCGGCCGCCTCGCGAGCACTCACCAGGGGGTTGAGGTCGGCCGGGCGCGCCAGGCGGTAGCTGCACGTCGCGCAGTCGTGGCCGCAGTCCGCCGTCACGGTGGCCAGGAGCCCGGGCCCGAGCGCCAGCAGCCCGGCGCAGAGTCTCAGGAGCCGCGCCATGCGCTGCGGGGGGAAGGGACGCGGACTCGGAGCCTGCCGGCCGCAGAGCGGGCCTTCTGCAGGGGCCCGGCGCCGGCACAGTCCCCGCGGGCGGCTGTCGAGCCGGAGGCCGCAGGGACGCGCCGTCCTGGGCTCCCCCCGCCCGCCGGCCGACGCCACGCTTGGAAGCCCGCGGCCAGACGGCCTCGCGGCCCCCAGGCTGGCACTGCCACCCCGAGCCCGGGGATGCCCGGGGCACTCGCTCGCTTTGGGGCTTCCGCTGCCCAAGGAGGATTCTGGAGAGAACACCCACCTGCCAAGACCGAACGCAAAAGAACGGGAGCCTTGGGGCGGAGGGGGAGGGAGGGGCAGGACGACATTCACCAGGGTCACAGACAGGCCCCCGAAGAAAGTTGGGGGCACCCCATGCGATGCATGAAAGCGCCGAGGAGGCTCAAGCGGGCGGACGGTGGCCAACGCACGCAGCCAGGGCGCCGTTCGGCCAAGTTCACTCACGTTGGCGCCGCGCGGATGGCGCAGGCTGGTCGGCGACATCGGGTCCCAAGCGCTGCTCTGGAAGGGAGAGGACAAGGCAGGTGCGGGCCGGGCGCGGTCGGGGCGCAGCGGCCGGGGCGGGGGGGGGGGGCGCGGGCCTCACCGTCGCGGGCCTCGGTCGGTCGGCGTCGCCGCGGGGCCGCGGGCTGCACTGCGGGGCTCGGCGCGCCTGCCTCGCCCGGCCCGGCTGTCCCGGGGCTGGCGGCGGCGGGAGTCACTTTATAATTAGCCCCCGAGCCGGGGAGGCGAGCGCGCCCCAATCGCCGGCGGGCTGCGGCTGACGCAGGCCCTACGCCAGCCCCGCGCCGACGCCCTCGGGGGCGGGGTCCGGCCGGCCCGGCACGCGGCCCGGGGCGGGGGCGGGGGGCGCGCGGCGGCTCGGCTCGCGGCCGGCTGGCGCGCAGAGGCGGCGAGGGTGTGCAGAGGGAGCGCGATGACATCAAGTCCCCCCCGAGTGAGGTCACTGAAATCGCACGCCCTGGGGGTGCGGGCTCCAAGATCAGAGCCAAGGGGAGGCGTCGGGGGGGCCTGGGGGGCAGACTTAGATTTCTGGAATGTGCTGGTGAACCTGCCCTCGCCCCGCCTCCCCTTGGGGCGCAGCGTGGTCGCGGTGGGGGCCCAGCGCGGCCGTCCCGAATGTCACTTATGCACCTGTCTGGACCCACCTCCCGCGGTGGTCTAACCGCGTCCGGCGCCTCGTCGAAGGGTTAAAGTAAAGAAAGATGGAAACTTATTAGGCATCTTAAAAAAGCTCGGGATCGCTTTCCCCTTTCCGTTCGGGAGACCACTTTCCAAACGTGGACTGGGCCGGCGTCCTTCTAGGGACGGGAGCAGGGGTCGCCCTAGGGACGGGCAGCCGCGCAGCAGCGGCTCCCCAGCGCGGCTGCCAAGCCGGACACGCTTTCCCTGGCGCTCTGCCCCGGGGGTTCGCGGGGTGTCTGACGAGTGAGAGGGGGTGCAGGGCGGGCGTGAGGCCAGCGTGCCGGGACCCGCGAGGGCGCGGTGAGGGACGCGGTACGCCGGGCGTCCGGGGCTCGGGGGCGCACGTCCGTCGGCCAGGGGCCCGGCCAAGCGCCCGGCGGGGTCCGGGCTGGGGGTCGAGGCGCGCACCCCGCCACCTCCTGGTTCTGCGGAAGATTGCCAAGAAGCCAGTCGTTCACTTTACGTAAGGCCTCACTTTCCTCCTTTGGCAAATAGGAGCAAGAAGTAATGTGCATTCGCGGGGTCCCGCAGAGACGCAAGTGGAATGATGCGCGAAAGCGTTTAGCCTGTGTCTGACCCATAGCAAGCCCTGGAAACGTGCATCTACGCATCTGACATCTGTCACCCATCCACCTGCGGGTTTGTCGATCACACCCCATCGTACATCTATTGTTTATTTATCCATCCACGTATCTATCTGTCCTGGCCCTAGAGGGAGACCACAGACTGTCCCAGAGCCGAGAGACAGAGACAGAGAGAGAGACAGAGAGACACAGAGAGCGAGCGCCAGCGCCTCCGGTCTTTCCCAGCCACACGCACGGCCGCAACCTCAGCCTTCGCAGGTGCCCAGGGGAGGCTCGGGCCGCGCTGCATCCCCCACTTCGGTCGCTAGAGGGCAGCGCTCTCCTGCGGAGGTTTGCGAGCGCAGGGACCCGGCCTCCCGGGCCGCTTCAGGACCCTCACCCTGGGTGACCGCAGCGCCGCGGGGCGTGCACGGCCTGCCTTCCGGGCAGGGGCAGCTCTGCACTTGGGGACCTGGACATAATAGCGGCGGGGCGCGTAGCCCTGAGAAGCCGGCGTTGACATCTTGCCCGGAAAGCATCACACGCCTCTTGGACACTTTGGGCCCTTCCCATCAGGGGGCTGATAGAGTCATCTCTGGCTACTGACTCTCTCTCTCCGACCAGAGAGGAGAGCTTACATTTGTAAATGAGATTTCGCCCCGTTGCCTGGGCTTTGTAGCTCGTGCAAAACGAGTGCATGAGCAAATCCTGCCGTAGAGGAAGGAGAACTCGCTGTATCTGAGCCCTGGTACACGTAGCGTGGCCGAAGAAGTTTAAATACACGATCAGGGGCCAGAGGCTGAGAAATGTTGGGGGGGGGTGGGAGACGACGGCACCCAGTGTGGCTTCCTCAGGACTCACGGTGCCTGACACGGAAAAACTCCTTAGAATCTTGGAAACTATAGAAGCTGAAGGTTGAAAGGAGTCTGGGGGGTAATTTATTCCAACCCTCATTTTATAGATGGGAAACGCTGAGCCCCGGAGCGTGCAAGTGGCATCCGAGTGACTGGCCCAGACAGTGGCAAAACCAGGTTCTGCCCAAGCTTTCCGGGGAGAGCTCCTTCCTGGCATCTACCCCGGGTTTGGTTTGTTTCTGTTGGAACAATGAATGTCGACTCTGAGTTAGTTTCTCTTTGTGGCTCGGTCAGTGAAGCATCCGATTCTTGATTTTGGCTCAGGTCATGATCTCATGGTTGGTGAGTTCAAGCCCGCATGGGGGCTCTGTGCTGACGGCATGAAGCCTGCTTGGGATTTTTCTCTCTCCTCTCTCTGCCCCTACCCTGCTTGTACTCTCTCTCTCTCTCTCTCTCTCAAAATAAACTTTTAAAAAAATATCAGGAAAGAGAAGAGAAGGGTAAAGAGAGGGCTGCCCCCAGGTGCAGTCAAGGGTACTAAGTGCCTGTCCAGTGTTTGGGATACTGCGGGTGCTGAATAAACATGCTGTGTGACTGGAGGGGTGAGGGACATGGTCAAGGGTTGATACCGTTGGCAGGTGCCAGGGATGAGCTCTTCCATCCCCTCCCCCGTGTGCCCTTGGAGGCTAAGGACACGCATTTTTTAAAATTCATTCCTTTATATTTCACTCACGGCAGTGGGCTGCAAGGAATTCATCTTTCCATGATCCTGTAAATATTTTGAAGAACTAATAGATATTGCTGTTCCCTCCTGAGAAAAGACTGTTCTGGAAATCAGACTCAACCAAGGGAAAGGAATCTTCTCTTAAGGTGTTTAATCCAGAGAATTCTGATTTCCATGTCAGGATCAAAATATCTCCTTCTTCTGATCCTAGGGTCCCAAACCGTAGACAAAAGGGATTTACTCCAAAGATCAAAAAGAAAGTGGTTTGTAAAACCTTGATGCTGAGTGGTGCTCTGGCTGCTGTAGAGGGATTTTAAAAGTCTTTGCGATATTCTCTTTCATCATTTCTGGGATGGAAGATGCCTAAATCGAATGCTATCTTTCAAGTGCCTGTTCTCCCCCGGCCCCGCTTCCTGCCACCCAGATACAGATATTTTATTATGGAACTTGCTACCTCTTTGCTGCTCAATCTCTAACCAGCAGGCACACGGCAGTTTCGCACTTCAGGGATCGTGTAATGCTGCAGCATAAAAACACCACGTTCTAACATTTCAGATGTTTGGAGCCCTGCCAGAGGCAGGGTAAACTTGCCTGTTTTCCATTACAATCTAAAGTGTAGGCTTTGAAAGCTAGGATTCTGTGAGCTAGGCACATTACCCTGAAGGACCCCTGTGAAGGCAGTCGTCTTCAGGCTGGCTCAGAACATGGGTCACAGACGGTCTCTAAGTGGGATTGACTAGAAAGCATGCTTTTAGGGTGTGATAGATCCCCATTTCAAGGAAAATGAGTCTGGTACATTCTCACTCTGAAAAATCCAGGAAACAAAACAAACCTCTTAGCAGAAAAACTAATTTGGTGCACAGTTGCCTAAGAATGAGTTTAAATAATAGGTAATGTGTCAATGCTTCAGAAAGAGAAAGCGGGAAGGGGAGGGGGAGGGGGGAGGAGTGAACAACAGTAAAAACAAGGGAAACTAAACTCAGCACATCAAATGTAATGTGTACATATGTGTAAACTTGGAATTGAAATAGAGTTCCTAAATTAGGCCTTCAGCTCTCAGACACAAGAAAATAAATTTTCATACTAAGCTTAGGTAATTAGATCATGAATAAAGCAAGTCACATGATGACTCATTAGATTAAAAGAAGATATAGCTGGGGATCTAACCAATATATGGATTCTTTTTTTTTCTTCCAGGAATCTGAATCTTAATTTTATTTCTTCCTCCAATAAGGAACAGAAAATTTAATTTTAAGCAAGGTATTCTTTATAACATTAATAAAGAATAGACATTTTTTAGAATAAATCTTACAAAAGAGGTACAGAGCCTTAACAGAGAGCATTGAAAAATGTTCACGAAAAACACTCAAGACCAAATAAATGGAAAACATAATCCCAAATTTAATTACTTCCTGTGGTGTCATTTATCTCGTTCCTCTATCTCCTGCATTTTCTAGCAACTGAAATTTACATTTTAAGTCTTGCTAGATTCAAATTAAATGTTTTTGATGAGATTACATTATAGGCAACATTGTCTACTTGATATTGTCTACTTTATATTCCATTATATAAATATATCTGGTCATTCCATCATGGCTGAAGCTAAGAATAGACTCAATAGGGTGATTGACCGCTGGATTGGAAGGATCTTCAGGTTCCTTTAGTTATCATTGGCAAGAAATTATTTTCATGGTCATTATAAAATTTATGACGAAAGCAAAGAATCCAACAACATTTCCCTTTCCACATTGACACATGTAATCCACTTCTTTTGCTAATACAAAATGATTACGAACACAGACATGGATTTAAAAATGAAACTTCGAAACTCGAATTGAGAGCTCGCACAACCAACCCCATGCAGCTGGCTTGTAAGTACTAAAACCACATCCTCCGCATAGAAACACATTTCCCATACTTTTTTTTTTTTAATTTTTAATGTGTTTTATTTATTTCCGAGAGAGAGAGAGACAGCGTGAGCAGGGGAGGGTCAGAGAGAGAGGAAGATACAGAATCCAAAGCAGGCTCTAGGCTCTGAGCTAGATGTCAGCACAGAGCCCAATGCGGGGCTCGAACCCACGAACCATGAGATCATGACCTGAGCCAAAGTCAGACGCTCAACCGACTGAGCCACCCAGGCGCCCCCACATATCCCATATTTTGAAGGTAGAGATTTGGGGTGGTAGTCTGGAGTTCTGCTTCCAGGAACCCTGCTCACGAATCGCCTCCTTCTCACTCCAACCTGGCTTCACTTTGGGTTGTGATAGCACCCTCTTCGGGCACAGGTAAACAAAGCCCTCTAGCACCTCCATGCTTGTCCAGAAGAAGGAGGATGTACT